GCCTCGCGGGGGATGAACCCCGCACCTTCACGGAGATGCGGGGGTTTTTATGTCTTGCTTAGAAATCCACACAAAATAATACCCCATCGGAGAGAAATCTTACAGGAAAAAGATATCTTGTGGAAAAAAAGCCCCACAGGATCAGTTAAATTGGGAAAGGCCTCAGAGGTCATCGAATCCAAGGCCGATTAGCCAACAGCACCCTGTCAGCCAGAGCGTGGCACTGAGGGCCGCGCCCAGCCTTCCCTTAAACACCTGCAGGGGTGGTGACTCCGCCACCTCCCCGAAAAGCCCAGTCAATATCGAATCACGCTTTCTGTGAAGGAATTCCTCCTAATGTCCAACACGGTCCAGCACATTATTGTATTCTACTCTGATAAGACCCTGTTAATTCCCAAATGATCTTGTTCTCATCAGAGGCACGGTGAGCACCTCACAGGCGTCGGGTCCAGGACCAGACAGGAAAGTGTTGGACGTCATTTCACAGAGGAATCAGTGAACATAGAAACGTAAGAGTTTTTTGTTTGGTTTTTTTTTTTTTAAAGTCACCTGGGAATAACATGGCACAAGAAGAAACTGAGTTCACCTTCTACTCTCTACTTCTCGCCATCATCTCACTTGTTTTGCCTCCTTTCCCACAGCTATCTCCTGATGGTTGGAAAATACTTTTTTTTTTTTTTTTCTTTTAGGATTTAGTACTGTAACAAGAGTTAATCATCTGTGAAAGCTTCTGGACTGTTTTGTTTTGTTGGGTTTTTTTATCTGTCCATTACTGATGTAGTATCTTGCCAAACCTCTCAATTCTCATCATACAAAGAAAACGTACCATGGCTTTTCAGAACACAGTTTTGTGTTCTCGCTTCTTTCTAAAGTTGTTTATCTTCTCTTTTTGAACACATGTCCAGTAACATTTTTTTCTCCAATGCTTAGACTAAAAGGCTTTTAAGAGGCAAGAGCTGCAAACTCAACCTTATTCACCTGCCTGTCCCAGAGTTCAAGCACAGACATGGACAGGGAAGTTTGGCCACACTATGCTTGTGTTTCCAGGCAACCGTCATGTTAATCAGGAGCATCCAACTGTGCTTGATTATATCTAGTATTTGAAGCAGAAAAGGAACATAAAATAGTTACTCCAGGGAACAGACTTGCAAAGTTTTATTTGGCTGCCTGGCTTCAGTGAGTAATGCTTTGATAAGGGATTATTCCTGTTTTCATTGTTATCAATCTGCAGTATAAAGATTGGGCAAATAAAACTTTCATGTCTGGCCTGGTAAATTTGCATGGCAATTTTGCAAATCCAACCAAAGGGACACTTTGTTTTGTGAGCCTTCCACTTTTTTTTCTTTCTTAGGAGTTTTCCTCCAGAGCTTGCTTTTTTTTTTTTTCTGAGCCATCAGAAAATGATAAGCTGTTTCACCTTCTGCTCAATAGGCTGCTTTGTAGCTAGCTGAGGCTTATACTTAATTACAGTTTAGATATGTGTGGATACTTTGATTGTCTGCTGTCAGTCAACAAAATCCTTGTACTTTTCTGCTTCACAGCCTGTGAACCTCACAAGCACTTCAGATTTGAATCATGGGCATTGAGATTGGCAAATTCTGTATCCTTTGCTTCCTTCTTTGACAGTTTGAGACCAAATCATGAATTCAAATATTGGGTAATTTTCCTTGGTTTGCCAGAGATCTCAAAGCAGTCTCATGTGCTGTTCCTATAGGTTAATTAGCCTTAAATGGACTCCTTAAGGATTTCAGATCTCCAATTTGGAGAATTCAGATGTCATTGGCTAATGATTATCTTTTGTTTGTCCTCTAGACGAAAAAGTATTTTGTTCTAAAATGTTGCATACCTGGCTCTCAGTAGGTTGTTTTAAATACTGCATTGCTTTATCCTTTCCTAGTGTACCATGCTTTCTCAGCTGCATAACTCATGGAAATCAGTGAGATGCTGCCCTTGCGTTTTAATCAAGATGAACTTGAGAGGTGAACATTGTAAGTGATAGAAATTATTTATAATTTGGTAATAAAAGTTTATGTCTAGCACTCCAAATTTCACACATCTGCTATGTGCTGGCCTTGAGATACAGAACAATTGCACTTGCCTTTACATTTGGCCTCAGATGAAAGGTTATAAATTACAATGATAGAGTTCGTAGTCGTTTCTAGCTCACAAAATTTCCATATTAACATCTTCACCTCAAACATAAATGGTTACAGAGTTACAAAGAAAAGAGTTGTGTTGGCCTTTGTCAACTGAACTTTAAGATGGAAGTCTGTGGATCATGTACTATTGATAACTCTTAAACATAAAGCATCACAGAATACGTGTTCAGAGGACCTAATTAAAACTTTACAGTTAACTTTAAAAATGGAATGGGATTTCATTCTCTCTGTCTCTCTCCTATCAATGCAATAAAACCCACTTCAAAGTTAGAAAGGTTTTTCTCTCCCAGCTACTTGAAATAAAAGCATTTTCAGAGTGAGATGGCTGGAGAACACAGAATGGGTCAGAAGGAGTGACCAATTTCTCCTTTTCCTGTGAATTGCACATCGTTTTTATAAGTTAAGTGCAGATGAACAACAACCCAGATGACAAAAGAATGTCTGTGGCACATTTTGAATTCAGCCTGAACAATCCCCAGCTACACTCAGTAGATGAACAAAAGCCACAATCTTTAAACAGTCCTCACCTGAAACTTGTCTCAGAGAGGACAAATCGATTCTGGCCCAAATCACAGCATATCACATGATTCTAACAATTAACTTTGGTGCCTTCTTAGGTTAGAAAAAAAGGAAAAAAACCACTTTTTTTAAAATTATGGCATGAAGTAAGAGGCCAAGATCAAGTTCTAAACCCAGGGGAACGTTTCTTGTTCAGAGCTGCTGAGAATGGGGAGGAAGAAGGAGGTATCAGCCTCCATGAAATAGTATTGAGGTGGAGAAGCTCTGCAATTCAGGATTAGCACTGCTATTGCAGGCTTTCCTGAGGGCCCTGAAGTAAACATGATACTGCATTTCTGGGGTTTGAGAGATGGGAGGCAAAATTCTGCTCTCACTGAAGCCAGCAGAAATTTTGCTAATTACTGCTCTGTTACTTAGTATGCCTCTTTGAGTTACTGAAAATACACCTGAGGTCTCAAAACCTTCCTTCTGAGGCTATGTTCTTTCACTGTAATTTGTGCTTCCTAGAACTGTCTTCTTCTGATGTTCTGAGTGTAAGAAATAGGACATTAAGGGTGCATGAAGAAGCAAAAGAAAGGAAGTATTGGGACCTTCCTCCTTTTCCTCCTCTGCAGACTTCCTGGTGGACAAGGAACTGTCAGCAGTTCTTCCAGGGAGCTGGGGAGAATAATGTAAGAGCTCAGCCTGAGGTTTTCTCTCTGTCTCCTACACTTTCAGTTCCATAAAAAAGAAAGGAAGATCCTCAGAAGCTTTCAGAGTTCACTTAACCCCCTCCAAGTTCTAGTGCACTCCTTGGCTACCCAAGGGACCAGCTTTTTCATGAGCATTAAGAGGTCTGATATTCCCCTTTGCATGCATTTGGATGGGAGAGTTCAAGCCTCTCAGCTTGTGAATTGAATGATTGTCTGTGCCTATACAGTAAAACTTCAAAAGATGTTTTTCTCTGTAAACAGAGGCTTAGTTATCCAGCATTACTTCCCATGCTGTGCTAAGATCATCAGAACCACTGATTTCCTTCCATGTTCTCAATTTAAAAGTTAATGTATTTTTGAATGGAATGATTTCCTTCCATGTTCTCAATTTAAAAGTTAATGTATTTTTGAATGGAATGTTGCTCAAAAAAGTATTTGGTTTGTGCTACAGATTTTCGATAGAAGAGCCTAACAAATTTCTGTTGTCTTCAACTTCTTACACTGTGCTCACCACCTTGGGATGTTCATCTCCTCCTATATAGCTTAAGTGGCATGATAACCTTTTGTTAAATGTTTGTCTCTCCTACTTTTTGTCCAGTTAAAATGTAGTGTGACAGATCATGTCAGGTTTGTGTTTTCTATTAAGCAAAGGCCGGAAGCCCCACTTGATTCCTTTTTGCACCGCTTAGCTAGATTTTTTTCTAAAATATGATGGAGCCTTTTGTGCTTAGACTCTATAGAATATTTACATCAGGGTAAAGACACATTCTATATTTTTTGCTTGTGGAGTATCAATTCCAGGTGACATTTCAATGTAAGCTTTCCCACATCCAGTTCGATGAACCTGATTCTGTAGTACAGGTTGAAAACTCTGGTATCAAGTTTAAGCACAGACATGAGTTGAAGTGGTTGCTTTAAACTAAACTGACCTGCTGGTACAAAACATCTGCAAAGCTGATTCCCAGCTCCCTAGAAATGCTTCTGATGCAGACTTGGGGATATGAAGTAAACATGAGTCAGATTTGTAGAATGGTAATAACAATACATACCTTGTCCTGAATTTCAGTGAAAAAGGAAGGTTAAAGCGTGTTCAGCCACCTTAAGCATTTAGAATAATAGGGATCATGTTACCAGCACCATTTACTAACAAGAGAGCTCAATTTCTTTAGAAATAAAATGCAATTTAATAAAAAGGAACACTGGAAGGCTGTATCTATGTGAAATAAACTGTTTTGCTAGGATAGAACAATAGTATAAAGTTCCATATTATGTCAAAAGTTAATTTTTCACATCATACAACCCTCCTGTCTTTTTAACTCTAATATAAATTCAATGGATACACTAGTGAAAATAAAGATTCTATCTATAAATATAGATCTGTCAATCTTGTGTGACTGCCTGTGGCTCAATCCCCGGGGCCTGCAGTTTCAGAGGTAGTATAACCTCAAACACAATGTTCAGATCTGATTCCCTGGTGTTCACACATGCCAGAAAATATTCCTCTATACTTTAGTCTTATCTGCTTTTATAAGAAAAAATATATTCCTGGAAAAATTACATAAAACCTATTGAAGGTTAGGTACTAACTCTTCCAGATCTGAAATAACAGGTTTGGAAGAATGTTATCTTCTAGGAGAGGGGAATGATGCAGGGCAACTGACTCACTCTTCCACAGTCTGGTTCACGCCTTTCAGGCAAAACTGCCATCTGTGCCATCAGTGCAGCTCCACCACTCCCAGGAATTGTAGGAGCTTTAGGGCAAAAAACAACACCCATCTTTTCTCACTCACCTGATCCTGCCTGGAAAATTGAGAGGGCAGAAGCATAAAGTGCCTGTAGCCATCCAGACCACCTGGCATTAGAAATCTCACCCTTGCTGCTGCTGCTGCTGGACCTGCATGGATGTTGGAAACAGAGAAGAACGCTCCAAAAGCACTCAGCGTAGACAGGGTTTGTTATGGAACTGCAAAAGTTCAAAAGCCTCTTCTGAGCAGAAGACAGATGATACAGAAGCCTGATTAGTACTTGCAGGCTTTTGTGGACAAGAAGGTGTTGGCAACATTGCTGTAAAACGGGTTATAAATCCTTATGACTTGGATCATTAAAAACTACAGCTCTCATTACTTCTCAGAGAAAGGTGAAGAAACACAGTGCATTCACATGCTTTTCTTTGGTTCTGGTTTCATTTTGCTTCCATCTCCATTGACTGGCACATGTTCTTGGTTTCCTCCATGACATGTGCAATCCTCTGGTCTTGCCTCATCAGACCATGTCCCAACTGTGTCACCTCCTCAGCTACTGCATTTTTCCCACGCATTCACCTTTCTTTCTTTTCCTTTTTCTGTTTTTATTTTGTTGGGTTTTTTCCCCCCATGGCTTTCATCTGTGTGCTTGTCTACTTGGGACTGACATTACCAATTGATTTCACATAATGCACACAGGACAGCCTAAATATATATTCCTGTCTCTGGATGTAGGGTTCAGACATTAAAATCAATGCCTGGGAGGTGAAAGGCTTCATTGCCCATAAATAACTCTTAAATTGCTCATTTTGTCTCCTCAAACAGCATATCAACAATGGAGGATATAATTTGGAAGATGAAATGTGAAAATACAAGTACTGTGCTCACATGCTGAAGTTTCCTTAGCTGGAGGGAATTCTGGTGGAAACGGGGAATAATGCTGGATTACTGTTTTCACACAAAATGGATAAGAAGATTTTTCTCTTTTTTTGGTAATAATAAAGAAATATCTGTGATAATTTATCCCATTGTTGAATAACGGATACTAAATTACATGCTGTGTAAACACCTCAGGGTTATGCCAACAAACAGTGCAAACTTCCAGTTGGAAATTAGCAAATCAAGTGTGGGACAGGTTAGTCCAGAGAGGGAGGATCTGTTCTCACTTCTGCTGCTGAGCTGCTCTCAAATGTTGAGACAGGTCATGTCACCTTTCTGTGTCTCACCTTCTCCACTGTAAAACAACAAGAATGATGTATCTAAAGTGCTTTCAGATCAATGGATGAAATCTTTATGTAGTAAGAAGGTATTATTAAGATCCTAACGATGCCATGAGAGAAAATGATCAATAATTATTTATATTTTTCTTTGCTGTTTAGGAGGTATTTTTCTACTGACTGTATTTTCTCCAGTCAAATGCACAACAGCTGAGTGTTGTCACTGTCTTGCTGAACATACAAGTCTTTTTGTATGTATAGTATATAAAGATGGAAAACAGGTTAAATTCTAGTATGTCATTTCTCTCAAGGCTGGAGGGCCAAAGTTAAAGGAAAATCTAATGATTTAATGCATGAGCAAGTGCTAAATCTATGCATTAATAAATTCTACAGGACTGTATATGCATACTTATACTGTATTTTAAGCTTGAATTTTTTTATTCAAATAAAAATGATTTCTTTCAAAAATTGCCCCGCATCAAGTAATCTATGTTTAAGGAATTGTGTAATTTTTTTTAAAGTAACCTCATTACTACCAGGCTACTTTTTCCTTTTGACAGTAAAGCAGAGTGCTTATCTTCCATATTTTCATAATGAAGGCTCCCAAGCACAGGATACTGTGGCAGATTTACAGCCTGTGAGCAGCAGAACTGACAGGCATTTTAATATGAAAGGAGATATGATGTCTTTAATGTACAGTGATGTCACTTCTAACAAGGTAGAAGCGTGCTTTTTGCACTACAATCACCATAAGAAGTGAAACCTGTCTGCTTCAGGAGTCACCTTTTAACCCAGGAAAAGGTCACAAATAATAGAAAAAAGACGGGACTCTGCTTACTCAGGTGGAAGGGCACTCTGACGTTGGAGGAGCAAGGCTATTGTGGATGTGCATTATCTCCAGGAAGCTGAAGCTACAAATAGTCTAGCTCAAGCTAACCTTGAGAACAGAAAAGGAAAGGATAATGAAAATCCTCAAGGGAGTGTTAAACTGAAAGCCAGATTGCCTGTTGACCACCCTTTTTCCTTTTATTCAGCATTGATTGGACCTAATAACTTGAAAGTGATATTGACAGCAATATAGTCCACCATTACCTGGACACATGATTATTTCATTGAGAGAAAGGACAGGAACCCAGTACCAAAAACCTATTTCATTCTACATTAGACCAGAGAATTTACTACTTTGTCTAGAAAATATTTGCCAGTGATTTTAAAGGCTGATTTAAAATGTGCATTTCTTAAATGCGCTCCCAGCTCCTGACTGAAAGCTTCTATCATGTCATTTTGAAGATGCACAATTCTTAAACATCATATACAAGAGCATAAGATTAAAAGGCCATAAAATAGCAAGAATTCTCAAGGTCCAATAAGTACATCATGTTAGCATTGGGCTGGTGACTTTGATTAAAGACAGGAAATTAAAATACATTGTCATATATATGGATACAGATATCTCCTCAAGAGAGTTGCTTCCTCCAAACTAAAATTTCAGAAAATCAACTTTGGATATTATGTCCTTTGATATTTTGGCAGTATGGTCTTGAAGGGATTGCAATAAGGAGTAAAAGAACAACATAAGAAAGAATTACTTTGTTTTCTGTTATCTTGGCAGGAATCCTGATTTTAAATGAATATGGTTTTCGGGAGGCTCTGAACCATCATGTGCTCCTAACCAGGGTGCTGGGGCATAGAAACAGTGGCAGTCAGGTAAGGTAAAACAAGGAGGAAATCACAGCATTGAACAATTAGTATAGTGTTATCCCCAACATGGTGCTCTCACGTCAATACAGCTGCATATCTGTGTGTCCTGTAAAATCAGAAATGATGGTTGACCTCATGAGGATGCCCATAATAATTCCACTGCTAGTCCTGTGTTCATTTGAATTTAATAGTTGTAGATTAGTATATTCTTAGAGGTGATGTGATTGGTTTTAATTTACTTTGAAACAGCGGTCTCCCTTACTCCCTCTTCAAAACAGAGGGAAGAGAAACTGCAAATTCAAGTTTGCATATAGAAACAATCAAGTCATATTTCAGTGGAAAATGTCAGAAATACTAGCAGTATCAGTGAATTCTTCTCCCCATTTTAAGTCTGTTATTCCAACAGCAAAGATACCTTTGGAAGATAAGCCCTATGTATGCTTAGAGTTATGATAATATTTTAATTATATTTTCCAAAAAGTAAAAATACTGGGAAATGAGATACAATGTGATACTGCTGTGGATCCACAGATCCCTATAAAAATAAATCTAATGTCATTAATGTAAGGTAATAGTTTGAAAGGCCCTGTAATAACTGTTAAAAGTCCCATGTCTGGAGAGGAAAGCAGCTTGACAGACACAAGTCATGAACTGCTTCACTTTCTATGCTGCCTTATATCTGTCAATATATTGGTTATGGAGCTGTGCCGAGGCCAGTCTCCAAAGGCAGACTGTCACATTTCTCAAAAGATAAAACATCCCTAAGGGTACAAAGAATTCAGGGACACAAGCTGATAGACAGGAGCAGAGCTGCGACTCTAACATTTTATGGCTGAGTTCAACGAGTGAGCCCTTTACCGGATAATTGAATTGATGAAAGGCTTACAGTTGCCCCGATTAAGCTTATTCCTTCTCCATATGTAAGACTCAGAGTAGTTTAAGCAAAAATTGAAGAAGAAATCTGGGAGAGAGACATTTATAAGCTCTTTGAAAATTGGTCTTGCATGAAAACTCACCATTTGTTATGCTACATGTGCTGTTTGTCCATACAAAGAATCCTGTTGTCCAAGAAGTGCTATTTGCAGCAGCCTTTTTTTTTTTTTCTTCTAACTAAGGATTTGTAAATATTTTTAGAACATGTCTTGCTGCTTCATGACTCATTCCCCTTACGATCTTTGGTATTTTTCCCATTTGTGATCATGCAGCATCCCTGTGGCATATGGTCACCTGGGAAAGTATTATTAGGGAAGAAATTAAGGGATTTTAGCTATTTTTAACATTTCTTAGACTGAGATGTAGAAGAAGTGCCACATCAAAGCAACATTTTTCAATCTTCTATATTACATTAACCAGTCTCGTTTGTGCTTTCCATGATGAATCCCTCTATCGTAGCTTTATTCATAACTGAATTGAAAATTATCTGGGCAGTGAATTTTGCCTTTGCAACATGCTTGTCCAGTGCCAAGTCCAAGGGACCATTAGGCCCTATGATAATACAGTTTTAAAATAATTGTATATTGGACCAGGAGCTCATCATTTACTGCTGATGAAAGAGAACAGCCAGGAGATATTTAACCAAGTACTCACCAAGGTAAGGACTCACCTTCTAGTGTGATGAAAGGGAAAAGGAAGTATGATCTAATTCTTCCAGCCTAAACTTAGATTTAGCACCATGAGTATTAGCAGCAGGATGCCATGGTAGTGTGAGGGTACAGTCAGAAGCCAGACTTATTTTTTAGAGTTCAGCAGTAGATCATGTCCTGTGTGAATTTATGAAAGTTATCATGAGATCTTTTAAATAATCTTAATAGAAATTAACTTCTATAAACACAACTTCTTATTTATGAACACTACCTATGGTGAGCTACTACAGAATACTGCTAACTGATGTAATAACTTACAGATTTCAGATTTGTGACAGGACCTCCATACCCTGTCTTTTCACTCTGTCAGGTTTAAGGGCAATGACTGGAAATAGGACAATTTCAATTGCTTTTTATACAGTATTCCTATTGTCCTTCTTAAGACATTAAGGGAAAGGGGCACTCAATTTATACCTGAATATAATTAATCAATAGGATCAACAGGCTGGCAGACACTTATTTTCAACATAAACTCCATGGTTTGCCTGTACCAAAGCTTCTTTTTTTTTTAACATTTAATTTCCAAATTTCACCTCTAGAGACAGCAAGCTACCAAGAGAATCCAGTGCTGACATCTTGACTTGGCAGTGCCTATGGTTTCATTTGTTCTTGGCCTGCACAGTCAGACAACATCCTTGCCAGACCAGGACCGTCAGATGTACCCAGATAATCTGCACTAATCAGTGTGAGTCTCATATAAATAACTTGATATGGCTTACAAGTTACAACACTTGGCTAGTGTACCTATACTCTCTCCCAAAATATGTATATGTATACGCTGAGTATTTTGATTAAAAGAAAAATTAGGGGGAAAATTATTTCATTCACAGTTTATTTTTATTTAAAATGTTTAGTGCAATATTTATGTATGTTTAGTGCAATTATGTATTTACTCTCACAGGTTCATAAAATATTATACCATATGCTAAAATATTTATCTTTTTCTTTAAATAAGACCGGGTTATAACTGCAATTTTTTTCTTCTACCCAAACTGTTTTTGGATTCCTTCCACACATGTGACATTCACCATTCTGTTTGATTAACCAGATTGGTGAGAATGTTTGATTTTTTTAAAGGACTTTCTCTTTATGGAGAATTAAAGGTCATAGCTGGAAAACTGGCCAGCCAAGCTCAGTCATTTCTAAGTATTTTGTTAATTTTTCCTGGTTAATGGTCCTTCCATTCCAAATTCAGAGTGTGCAGTTTCTTCAGACTTGCATTAAACACTCCTCAGAGCTAGAATCTCACAGTGGATAACGATAACCTATTTCCTTCAAGCACTGCAGCTCTATCTGTGAACTACTGGCATCACATGAAGATTGATTAAAGTTCTGCTGACACCTAATGTACACAAGAAAAAAAAAGTAAAAATTGCACTCTTTGCCTACCAAAGGATTGCCATCTCAAATTCTATCTGCTTGTCTCTGAGGTCTGAAATGGACTGATTCTGTTCATCAGTTAGGGTGCCCATGTTTAGAGCAACATCCCGAGGGTGATGGTAATGAGGGCCCACAGTCCTGGCTCCAGGGGAATACTTCAGTATTAACCTCAGTGCTGGGTCAAGCACTGTCCCCTTTAATGAGGAATGTTAGGCCTTCCCAGGCAGGTGCATCTTGAGCTGAAGTGTAACATAACCTCTTCTACCTTATCATGTCAGGTGACAAATTTAAACCACAGTGGGCTGAAAAAGACTTGCTCAGCACTACAGATAATTTAATTCCTCAGTCATCTTTTCTCTTTATCTCCTGTAGACATGCTCCAGACTATAAAACAATGACAGAAGCCATGTTCAGATAAACATAAACCTTATGAAGGTGTCCAGTGGGTTTTGTGCCCTTCACTTAGTTCACCACTGTGAACAGCAGATTGGGGTGTTGTTGGTGAAGGGGGAAGGGATAAAGCCGGAGTGATCTGTGCTTCGGGATCCACCTGTCTGTATGACAGACCTCCTTCCAACGCCTCAGCAGCCTTTCCCTGCCTCATGTGCAGCCCATGGGGTTCTGTGGGGGACTCTTGGTTGTGGATGGAGATATATGAGTTTAACCTAGCCCTTTTCTGCATGGTGTGATTTTGCCAGTCTCTGTTTCCTTGGAGTTTCTATTTTTAATATTATATGCATGTCTCCGGAAAATTGCCTGGTTGGGCTTATAATGAAAAGTTTCCTGGGAACCACCACCTTTTTTATCTGTTCACAATATAGTCACTAACAAAACAGGCTTGAAACATACCACATTTCTCTTCAGGTTTTGGAGGATAAAAACAATTTATTTCATTAGTCATCAGTCAGAGACCAAACAGCTCATAGATTTAAAAGTGCTGAATCCAAGTATTGTAATTTATGGTTGGGAGGCATCATGATTCAGTCAAATATGCTCTTTTCCCCAAGAGTTATGTAAGAATTACCACTTTGATGTTTCTTTGGATCCTGGATAAGCCACCTAAACATTCTGTGACTCCCCTTTTATAGAAAGTGCATAATGGGACATATATTGTCATTGTAAAGGGCTTGGAGGCAGTGCCAGGGCCTCTTTGCTAGACTACCAAGAGCAGTGATCTTTAAGGCAGGACAGCAGTGAGATATAGAAATTGTCAGCAGTGCTTGTTGTTGTGGTGTAACCCGAGCCAGAAACTCAGCCCCACTCTCTCCCTCCCTCCTGGTGTGATGGGGGAGAGAATTGAAAGGGTAAGAGTGAGAAAATTCATGGGTTGAGAGAAAAGCAGTTTAATAGGTAAAGCAAAAGCCACAGGTGCAAGCAAAGCCAAACATGGAATTCATTCACCACTTCCCAAGGACGGACAAGTGTTTGGCCATGCCCAGCATATCTGGGCTCCATCACATGTAGTGGGGACTTGGGAAGACAAACTCCTTCACTCTGAACATCCCCCTCTGATTCTTTCTTCCCTAATTTTACATACTGAGCATCACTCCATATGTTGTGGGATATCTCTTGGGTCACTTAGGATTGGCTGTCCCTGCTGTGTCCCCTCCCAACTCCTTGTGCATTCCCCCCCAATTCTGGGGTGCCCCCTCACTGCTGGGGTGGGGCGAGAGGCAGAAAAGGCCTTGGCTCTGTGTAAGACCTGCTCAGCAAGAGCAAAAACATCCCTGTGTTATTAATGCAATTTCCAGCACAAACCCAAAACACAGACCCATATCAGCTAACTGTGGAAAAAACCAAACCCCCCAATCCAAAACCAGCACACCTGCTCTGCCAGGAACATGGAGAGAAGCAAGTCTGTTGAACAGCTTCCGAGGCTACAGTAGTTTGGTGATGTCAGAGAGTACCCGTAGCCACTTGGCTATCCAGGATCTGACTTCTGCTGCCTCTGGATGGCCAACCAGATGTAGTGACCTGACACTCAGGAGAGGAAAACAGAGCTCTCTCCTAAGAGCTAAGATCATTAGAGGGTGTCTAAAGGGGAATACTTGTTACGACATTGATTTATGCAGTCTTTTAATTGCATTAAAATAGGTGTAGCCAGTTCGATGTTTGCAGTAGAGTAAGTTTTTATGAGGCCAGACTAATGAATGAGCCCCTCTGCACCCTCTGAAATGATTTGAGTCCCTCCCTTGTGTATAGATCGAAATTACACCAGCAGCCACAGCACAAGCGTGGCAGTGCCTGGAGAACAGGCCAGTGCAGAACCATCAATCAATGTCCTATTGATATACTAACAAAAATGGACTAGAAGTGTGTCAGTATTAAATGTTGCCCTGGTTTTATATGTGTGCATTTTTCTGGGGCTAATGTAATTTCAATGATATCCTCTATAATTAAGTATCATGAATAACCGTGTGTTTCATTAATTTAAAAATGTCTGGGAAATGTCAGTCATCTTTTTGTATATGGTACAATGGAGAGGGTTGCAGTAGATCCATATGGAGCCCAAAAGCCAGCTGAGAGAACTGGAAAGAAGTTTCAGTTAGTGGGGAGAGGTTCACAGCAAGAAAAATATGCTGATGCTGTAAACTTCTTCATTCTGATCCTCCTATTCCACTCAGGAATGTTAGAGACAGACCTCCACTGAAATCACTGCTGAAACTGAAAAGGATAAGCAATAGCTTTTTCCGACATGATCTATTCCTGGTAGCTGATGATTGATTTTAGACTTTTGAATAAATGCACCTACTTTTTTTCTAGTGATGGAATTATTTCTGGTGCATAAAAGTGTTGCATTACATTGCCACATTTCTAGAGTGCAGTGGCAGCAATAGCTGTATTTCAGGTATCCTTAATCATTCAGGCCCAAGAAAAGAACATGCCTTTGAGCTGCCTGAGGGACAGCATGATTGGCATCAAGGAGGAGCACACCTCCTGTCCAGGCTGTGGTCCCGAGGTCAGTGAAAAGCTGGTGCTGATCAATGGCCACCCGGACACATCTGTCAATAATAAAGGAAGTCCATGGCAGGAGAGGGCTGTGCCTCACACCACAAAGTGGAGCTTGTTAGCAGCAATGCTGTGCCCTGAGTGGACAAGGCATGGGCTAAGGAATAAGATGGCTTCCTTTTTTAGGATGATAGAATGCAATTGTTTGTCAAAACTAGTGGGCTGTGCATTGTTATTTTATAACAGCAGTGTAAAGTGTTCTGTGTGTTATGATTATGTTGTGTAACACTAGAAAAAGTACAGAGCTGGCAGCTAAATTTGTTTTGCTAACTGTAACCTTTACTGTGATCCAAGAAGTGTTTATCTTGCCCCACATCAGTACTTTATTCACCATAAAATGACTCCTTTGCTATGCAGAATTACACATAAGCACTTTTTCTTTCTTCTGCACCTATACAATACTTTGTGGAGAGCAATGTCAGCAGTGCTGTAGGAACAGGATTCAGGAGTGACTGATACCTCCTCTTACCTCTGCTGCTGTAATTCTGACAGGCCTGATCCAAATCCACCGGAAGTTTGTACAAAGTCTTCCATTTGTTTCACTGATCTTTGCAAGAAGTCCCAAGAGGCGTTTGTCAGCCTTTTAGAGAAGAATTGTCAAATAATGGGAGTCTCACTTTGGTCAGTCAGGGGCTGATCCTTAAATGCTGGTCTCCAAACTTTTTGGCTCATATACCCCTATCAGCAGAAAAATACACTCCCACTCTATGTACAATCAATTATTTATTTATGAATGATATACATGTGCTTCTCTACTAATTTCTAAGTATTATAAAACATGTACAAAGTATAAATTTAAAAAAGGATGAATTGAAAATTAAATAGATTAAATGATTTTTTAAAAATTATTTATCAATGAGGCACACATAAAGAATGTCTTCTTTCATCCCAGTGGTCTGTCTTGTGTGTACCCTACTTTGGAGATATCATCTTAAAAAGTCCATTCATTAGCAACTGGCATGAATGCCATGGTAGTGGCAACTTAACATCATCTACCACCCATAAGTTATCTATATACAACTTCTTGTATTTGCACCTCTGTTTGGAAACCACTTATTTATGTCACTCACAAGTTTGAACACTTCATACTATTGTCTATGGCAAAACCCATTTATAAAATGAAAAAAAGCCCCAGGGAACTTAAGAAGGTTACATACACTACAGGGTTTTTTTGAGAAGGTAACTAAAGGACTGCCACTACTATAAGCCTTACAGGCTTCTAAACACTGTAGCATTTGGGTTTCCTGGACAAAAAATATCCTGGGCAAGCTATGGAGATTAGTAAATGAGCCTGATATTACCCTTTTACATCATAAGAGTGATCTCATAGTTATCATAATTTTAGTTATGGTGCCAGAACCACGCTTCTTCCACAAACTAAATGTTTCAGCAGAGAATTGTAATAAAGAAAGGCTATGTGTCAGATTATGGTTTAACTAAGGTTGAGCCAAATTTTGGATTCAGCCGTTAAAGCAGATGCAATCAGCCCTGGTTGAAATTCAGCTTTGTCTAAAAATCTGCTTTCATTTTGCTTTGATTTTTTTCCCCTAATGGCCATTCATTATGGATGTGAACTTTCCTTCTCTGTCTGGATATGCATAAATATTTTGAAGCTTCTGTTTGCTGATTCCCATTATGTTTGAACTCTGCTTATTGGGGCCAAGTTTCATCAGGTTGTCTCTCTTGTACTCCTGACTCTTGAGCTGGTTCCACCGGAATGCTTTTGTCACAAAGAATTTTCATGTTGCTTGACCCTATTTGCACATACTCTTGTCCCTTAATTTTCCTCCTCAGAGCATATTATTAAGTATATCAGAACTAAATATGATCATTTTCAATAAGAAAACCCTAAATAAAATTAATTCACAACATTATTAAGATATCTGAAAAAAAAAATCACAATTATTTTATGAAAGGCACAATTTCCAGATGTACAAAAATATTCAACATGCTCAAAAGCTGCTCACCTAAATGTCACTCTGAAATTTTGAAATCTCTTTCATAGTTATCTTTCCCTTCTCTGTTTTATGGCCTTGAGACAGAGAACATGTCCATTTAATGTCTACATTAAAATGTAGCATGTCTACATTGAAATATTCAGTTACTATTGGCCACTGTAAAACCAAATGATCACTAACTTCCTCAGATCTTGCCATTATAGCGAAATCATTACCATCCCGTCTCTTTTTGGAAGGAAACATTGTTTTAGGTGAACATCCTAAGGCAGTACTTAAAAGTGGATTTTTTCCTCATTTTTAAAATATACCACTTATATTGCATGAAAATTAAGTAATGTAGGGAAAAGAGGCACAGCTCTGGGGTGTCATCACCATGTTAACATTGCCATAACCACTTTGGTCAAAAGGGATAAAAATGTTAAGATAGTATAAGATACCACAGAATATTCAGTCCCAACACCACGCGAGAAGTCACTGAGTTAACATGAAAAGTTTCAGAATGAAAACTCAGTGTAAGAAGCCCGTTGCAATAAAGGGTTGGAAGCATTGTCCCTTGCTACTTGCAATATGTTCAGGGGAGAAGAGCTGGAGTCTGTCCCAGACTATCCCAGTCTATCCCACCATCAGTTCAAAAAGGAGTTCTCCACTCCTTAGAGGGGAGTGCAGTAGAAATTAACTCAGTAATGCTGTGTCTTCTGCTGTCACAGGAACTATGTCATCATACTGGATTTCATCTACCAAGTCCATGTGGTGAGTAATTCATACAACAGCAGCTCATGGGAAGGGTGGCATTTAACTGCAGGGAATCCTCATTTAAAATATTTTTTTCATGTAAGTATGCGTGTGTGTATTTTATACGTGCAATATATATATTTGTGTATGTGTTTATAATAAAAGCACAGCATTTACATAGTGGGCAGTAACATCCAGTTAGTGCTGACTTATAGGTTACAAGAAGAAAGTGAGCAGGTGACTTGCTCCTAGCAATGCCAGAGTTGTACCTTTGTCAGCCTGGACTATTTCAGCAGCAGTTTACTGTCACTGCCATCAGGGTCAGCAGATCTCAGATTTTATGGGCTACCTATTTTTCATTACACACGTATTTAGAACCATTACCACACAATAGTCTTTTTAATTTTAAAAGCACTCTATAATTTTAGTTATACATGTAACATTTACACATAAATAACCTTTGCATCTGAATCTAGGTCAGCTTGTTGTCTCTGTCAGGGAAATAATCCCTAATACTTGTTTATGTCAGATTGAGGAAACTGATCTTAGCCACCTTGAACTGTTGCCTTTGAAGGCACAGCTTGTCAAGTCTTCCTGACTGCAAAAATCTGACACAAAAGAAGTACCTCTGGCAAGTTGATTGTATTTATCCATCTTTCAAGCAGTTGCCCAGCCTGTGGATTTCATCTCTTCCTCTGCAGGAGCATTTTGCAGTCAATACATACCTGCAGGACGTGCAGGTATAGAACTGGTGAAGACTCACCAGGTTCCTGTACCTGAAACCACACATATTTAAGTATGACAGTGGACACACTGAAGTAATTGTGACTATTTGCATAACTTAAGGCAAATGTTTTCAGATTTGGGACTGTGCTGGCTTGCATCAAGTTTAATACTACAGAAGCAATAGATTAGTTTGATTCCACATTTTTTAAGTGTTGAATTGTGTAATGTGAAATGCTTAGAACAAAAATTCTTGAATTGACTTGCAATAATGCATGGAAGAGTTCATGCAACATCAGTCAGAATAAGGAAAAATAAACCCCACTGATAATCATTTAGTAAAAAGAAAAATAAACGCAGAAATAGGAGTTTATTCCAGTTCATCATAACCAGACGTGATCTATAGTGTACCATACTTTCCATTCTTAAAAAAAAAAATAATTATAGGCTAGATAAAATTCCATTACTATTGTTGTTTCCAGTACCAGAAATATGTCCTTGATTAGATAGCTTCAAATCACAAACAGTAATATGCATTTTCCTGCCACCTGCAAATACAAACAAGACTGTGTTAGGACCAAACTGGAACAGGAATTACTATATTTGCACAGACAAATGCAATTACATTATGAAATAATAGATTTTTCTAATTATTATTCTCTGATTATTTTTTCTTTTTTTACCAAATAAGCACAGCATTAGGAACATATAAAAATTCTTCATTAATTTCAATTTAATACTTTTTCCTATTTTTTTTTTCAATGGTTTAGTTTATTTCTTCTTAGTCAAAGTGGTTTGAAGTGGTCCCAACTTCCCCAGAAGTTGATGTCATACATTAACATGATTCACAAATTATGTTAAACAAGACACATACGTCTGTTGTTTAAAACTCAGCTAGGAGGGGGATGTTAGTTCCATCTATGCAGTTTGCATTTGTGCCATCTACATTTCTGCTGATGCCGCAACAGAAGGGGGAAAAAGCCCCCAGGTTTCTGACATTTTACAGGCAATTGCAAAATTCTATTGCTATTTAGAGGACATCTGGATTAAGACAAGAATTTTTCATCCTGGACTTTCAGTGGCATGTGGAGTGCACCCTCTGAAGTATGAAGGATGGAAATAAAATGGAAATACTTTCATAAGGAATTACTGCTTCTGAAATGGGAAAGCTTTGCATAAGTTTGTTGACATTTGGTGGATTATTTCTGTGTCTGTCTGAGGCTGTCTACACTTCAGAATTTTCCACTATTGCTAGTCTGAATGTGGAACTAGCAGAGCCTCAACTGTAGACAAGCCATGTGTGTCCTTACCAAGAGATAACAACTTTTTTTGGAGCAGATTTGGATGCCACAGCAATATGAATGACAGCATCTGCAGGTACATGAGAAGCCTGAGCTAAGCAGGCAGGCAAACTGAGTACCTCTCTTCAGGCACTTCTTTCTTTTGTGACAGTAGCCGCTGAGAAAAACCTTGTCACATGGGAAGACAAGGTTAATGTGCTCTGAAACAGTATATCTGCTTCATGTGAGTAGAAATACTTGCACAGAAGCTGGGTGAATAATTTAAGGATTCCTGGCCAGCTGGTTAAGGGAGAATGGGAGAGTCCCTGGAGTGTGACCAGGCCTGTGGCTGTCCATGCTGCCCACCTACAGCCTTCTGTCTTCTCTGGTGGACCAGAGCTCACACCACCAGGACAATGCTTGGGACAGCAAAATCATGTGAGGTGGATGTTCTTGGCTATCTGAATTTCCTCTTTGATTGTGAAGGACATAACTGTGTGTATCTGACCATGCAGGGTGTTTGCCACACCATCAATTACATGGCGGTAGAGTGATATACCTGTGACAACAAATAACCCATCCAGGCTTCCCATGCAAAGAGCTGTCTCTAAGTGTCCTGCTGTCACTTAGGAGCAGGTTCTGTCCTGCAGATCTGTCTGGTGTTCTTATGTGCCTACTGTTTGTCTCCAAGGTGCAGCTGCGTCTGGAAAGAAGCAGAACAGACCCCTAAAGCTCAGCCTACTCTTCATACCTGGGTGAGTAGCAGCTTTGGCCATTGACACCTGAAGGTACAGCTAAAGAAGGGTCTTCAGCCGTATTTCTGGATAACCCCTTCAGCATGTCTTATGATATTTGATGTTTCCACAGTCTCCAGTTCTTGGAGCTACAGGAGAATGTACAAATATCCATTTCCTTGCAGAGGTTCAGGTTACACAAGCTCGTGGGTTTGTAAGCTGTCTGAGAGGTCAAATCCAGTCAAATGCTTGTGTGGCTTATCTTGTATTAAATATTGCAGTAGTCATCTTATCTATCTGAGAAAGGTGAAGGGTTCAGTGACCCCAAGACTTGAATGGTGGTGCCAGAGAGTCAGGGAATTTTTCAAACTTGCTGTATTATGCTTATCCTCTTACAGTCTGACTTTTTTTTTTAAAGGTGGTGTTAAAGACTGCAATACAGTTAAAAAGATACAGTTAAAAAAACCCCAACAATCTCTGATTGTATTCATTTTTAAGCCTTGCTTATGCTCTGATACTACAAAGCACTGAACACCTCAGGTAAAAGGGATTTTAACTTCTGTGGGCTTCAGTGGGAATTCTTGTACTGTATGCTCAGAAATCGGAAGAGAGGGATCTTGAACAGAGTTTAGAAATGTCTTTGGAGCTCACTCATGACACTCACAACCTTACCCACAAGGTCATTAGTTTTAAGGGCTTTTACAGCTCTCAGCTCCCATAGCTGTGGTAACATGAGCATATTTGCTATCATTATACAGATAAACAAATGTCTAATCTTTGTGGCTGAGAAAAATGTAGAAACATTGAATCCATTTATCTCAACACCAGTAAACCAGACAGATGACTGAAATATCACAGGGTTCTGAAGTACAGTAATTCTTAAAACAAGCTCGTGGGATTTTTTTATGTGTTTAGAATTATCAATCCTGGCATTTTCAGACTTGTTTCCTGTTACCTCATTCTGTTTCTTATTTTAAGTTTTAAACAACAAAATTCCTACATCTCTTTGCACATGGAAGTAAGCTAATCCTCTAAAAAATTCTGAGACCAGGACTGGTGTGTCCTGGTTTTTAGTGGGTGGCTTGCTGGGCCACTACTGGCCCTCTTAAAGATGATTCTAATGCTGCTGTGAAAAGGCTTTCATTGACTGAAGAAATCCTGCTATGTACTACAATATTTTGATGTTCTCTCTATGTCTTCTGATACATTCAAAGAAAATTCACAAGTTGATCCCACAAATAGTGGGATCAGCTTAGTATAAGAAGCACCTTCCCTATGAACCCTGAGCTACTTTTTCATCCAGGCTCTTAATATGCTTAAATGATGAGCAGTATTTTTGTTCAAAGCTCTTGGCTGTTCTTTCTGGACAGAAGCTCTCTAATTCCTTAAAACTTTTCCAAGCAGCTCTTCTAAATAACACTGATACACACAAAAAAACCCCTGCTTTTCTGTTTATTTGCCTGGAGTGTGTAATCTGAAATCTGAACAATGTAATTTATTATCAGTATCTGAAGTGGATTGCTACAGCTTCCCCCATGTATTAATAGCTGTAGCTATTATTTTCTAAGGAAGGATGTCGTGGGCCCTTCTTGTGATATAAGCATTGCTGCTAACTGGGTATCTGGCTGGAAAGGATGATAGTGTCCCCTGCTATTATAAATCTAGTGAGCTCACCTTTAAATGTCTGTCTCTATTCTCCCCTTTGGGCATTGTTCCAGTCACTTTTTGGCCTTTTTATTTTAAAGAAAAATCTCGTCCATATGGTCAGAGGAGGAAGTATACTTGCCCTCAGATTCACTTAATGCGTGCTTGTTCTGTATATTTTGGAACTGGACTTCCATTGTGCAGGAGAGGAAAAAATAGCCATCTTCAATGAAAATCTAAATTAGTAGCCTGCATGCATCAAACAAGAATAAAAGCCCATGCTGGAGGATACAGTAGATCTAAATATGCATGCCCTGATTCACATAGATAGCCAAACTCTTTCAAACAGAAACATCATTTGACCTATGAAGTAATTAAAGCCATGATTATGGGGAGGGCAAACACCACAGTTCAGGCTGCAGCCGGACTGCTTTCCATTAATAGAAAGCTCTGTTATTCCCTCCCCCCACACACATATTTATCTCACTTTTAAAAATTATGTTGGCTGCAAAATTCCTGTCTGTGCTGAAGGCATAGCAGAATGTTTCTGCAATTTTTTTTTAAAAGTTGGTGCTTGAGTTTCCCAAGTTATCTGATTGTAGTTTTTGTTCCTCTACTATCTGAAAAGAGTGGCTCACTTCTTCTTAAGTCTTGCCATATAAATCCAGATTTTTGAGGAAGATAGATTGGCTTAATGAAAACTTATTTCTTATGTATTCTAGGTAATTCTGAGACCAGTCTCCCACACACCAATACCAATATGGCTTTTTCTGCTGGATTAAGCAGAAAGAGCAATACAAGCTGAAATCTGGGAAAACCGTGAGAGGAGTTTTTTGTGGGGTTTTTTTCCATACAACTTGTAATTAACTCATTGCTACAGGATTTTATGAATCTCACTTTTTTGTATATATTGAAAACGTAATCAGACAACTTAATGAGAATAAAACCTATCAGGGGCTTTCAAATATGCAGATAGTAACTCTCAAAAGAACATTAATAAAAATTATCCCTGAATCTTAGATCACTAGGAACTATAGGACCGTACTGAGGATGTGTCACTGCATGTTTGCCACTTCTTATTCATTTCCTTAGGCATTTGTTGTTGCTGGAAGAATGGTACCTGGTGGCCTGGACCTTTGACTTGATCACTCTGGTTAGTCTGAGGTATGTCAACAAAAAATTAACTTTGACTCAAAGGCTCATATTCTATGATCACTTTTGACAATTGTAAGCACAAGGAACATGGTTGTATTTTCAAATTCTGGGGTAAAATATATGGACACCTAAAATGTGATCTGAAACTTTTGCATTATTTGAGGGAATACTTGGTCAGAATAAGAGCCTGAAGTACCAGGAACAGAGGAGAAGCATCATAGGTTAGGCCTACATCCTGCATAGAAGCTCATTTGTAAATGGTGCCTCTCTCTCCACTTAGGACAGCTATAAAATCAAGCTAATAATGTTTATACTTAGTTCTGGAAGGAGCTTTGAGAGCTAGAAATAAATGCTTACTCTGCAAATGCAAAGATTTATTTTTTTACATGGAGTGATCGTAACTGAGTAAAAATGGGAAGAGGATCAAAAACATTTGGAAGACTCAAGATTACAAATGACTGTCAGTGACACTAATTTTCCTAATGTTTTAGCTGCTTTCATATGTCCTCTAGGGAGGCTAAGATGCATTCAAGAAAAAGCTCTGGCATTATGTGCCCTAACTTTTTGATGCCTGGCACCTGATGTGCAGTTCCTAACCTTAAGTTAGGTGCAGCATTTCTGGCTGTGTGACTATTGAACACATTTTGCCAACAGGAGAGCAATGGAGTTTCTTCAGAACACTGAGCTTGAAGGCAAGAACCCTCTGATAGGTGGAAATTAAATTTTCAAAGGAGCAAAGACCTTGCTGTTAGGCAGATTTTGCTGGGATTTAAAAATACATCTCATTTTAGGCAGCTATTTCTTTGTTTTGGGGAGATTTATCCCCAAAACTTCAGACATAAAAGATCTTTGCAAACCCCCATTTTATAATAAATCCTGTGTAATAAATACTGACTCTGGCTTTAAATTAAAATGGAATAATTTATTGCTAGAGTTGACTATTCCCCTTGAAGATGTCCAAAGAATAAACTGGGCATCTTCAAGGCCTGTTAGGGCAATGATGGATGAGGAGAAGGCTGGCTGTGAGGCAGCAAAGCTGACCACAGCAAGGAAGAAGTGTGATGATTACACCTTGGCCAGCCCCTGCTGCCCTGACTCCAGGCTGTTCTATGGAAAGATGTGTAAGGACAGAATGAGGATTTTGAAGAAGCTGAGATACTGAAACTCAGCAGCCTGGGACCACCCCTGCTGTAAATGGCAGCATCTGGGAACCAGCAAACTCATCTAGACACAAAATCAATATTTAGTTAAAATCCATGATCTTTCCACAGGTTTTGAAGGCCAATACAATAGTGGGGTCCAAGAACTGGCTCTGAGAGTGCAATGCTTTAATACAGAGGTCCAATTAAAATACCCTGGAAGCCTGGCACTGCCTCATGGAATGGTTAATCCATCTTCCCTTTCTGCCTCTGCTGTTCCTGCACATTTGAACTGTCATATCCTTTCTCCATTATGTAATAGCCTAGAGGTCACACATGTTCCTCTGCTTTGAATAATACATCTCTATGAAGCCTCAGTATCTCTGTTTGAAAATTTATTTCTTTCATTTTAATATTTTATCAATTTTGTCCTAAATGGATGACCTTAACTGGTTGCAGTTCATTTCATTTTTTCTCTGCTTAAATATTTTAAAGGCTCCAAAGTACAAACATCATTCATGCGGTGTGTAACAAAAATGCTCAGCTTGAGCTTTGGATTACTTAATTGTAATTGTCAAGCTATTATTAAAATTGATTTTTTTTCCTTTTTTTCAATGTCTTCTCCCCTCTCCTTTTTCCATTTCTAATGTTGTTTGTCACATCCTTTATGTTGGTATTTAACTATACTTCAGTGCTTATAGAAGAGCTATGCAATCCATTAGGACCATTATTTGTGGACATCAGATATTAGTTGGCAGTAGTCAACAGGCAAGAGTCAAAACCACCCTGCAAGGGGGAAAGGCATTGCATTCAGAAAATACCTCAGTAACATAATTGATCCAGTACCAGATACAGTATTTAGTGTTAGGTACAAGTTGAGCTTTTTGTCCTATGTTTGGAGAAAAAAGAACCAGAGTTATATTTTACGAGCTGGCCATCTTGATGCTGCAGCCAATCTGGATTTCATTAAGCTGGAAAGGGGTTTTATTTGAATGGTAAATCATCGCAACACACACATATGCACCAGGAAATAAAAGGAGTTAACAAATACCTGGCAGTCCTAGCTCTGAAATGAGTAGTGCAGTTAGAGAGGTGTCATTTTGGGCACATAAGGTTCTTTGTAAGAGTAGCAGTCCTAGCCTTTCTCAAGCCTCTTTAGGTAATTAAATCCAATCTTCATAAATTTCAGTATCATTTGGCTTCCTGTCCTGAGCAGGTTGATGTCACTACAGGCAGCTTCACCCTGACAGTTGCTGAGTGCCTGGTCTCACTGACCCTTCTGATGTGTAAAATGCTTTGGGTTATTTAGATGTGAAAGGCAGTAAAAGCTAGTAAGCACAATTTGATTTAATGATTGTTATTCTGCACTTATACTATGAGAGAACAAAACTAAGATATCTGCACTTTACACTGTGGCATTTTGATTAAAAATAGGAATAACAACACTGAAGGAATCTGACTCATATCCTTGAATGATTTCAACATAACTGTAGCTATTCTGCATTTGCAAAATATAAAAATCTGTATTCAATCCCTTTTTGGTATTTAAGACTTTTGATTATGTGGGACAGGTCTATATTTATGCTGGTTATTATCTTTCTCATTTTCTTCTATCTTGCTTTTGTTCAGTACTAGTCTTGCCCAGCTGTAACTGTTGGTAAGACCTGGAGTCATGTTTCATTTCTGACATCTCTGTGTCATATTACAGTGACATCACCTGTCTTTTGGCTTGGCTATGCAGTATCCCACACCAGGGAGACACATTAAATCCTTTGCCTCCCCACTAAGTCCCTAACTGCCATGTTGAGGATAATATGAAGGAAATGGCACCACCTCTCCTGCACTGGCTGGAGGGTTTTGTTTTACCTGGTGCTGTGTCACCGCAACAGATGCCATGCAGGTCACTGAAAGCAGGAATCTCTGTGCCTCCATGTGTACAAATGGGGACATCTTGTTTCCAAGTGTGATTCCTGGGCTGTGCACAGAGGTGGAAACGAGTGAAAATGAGTGAATGTATAAGCAGGTTGCCTCTTGTTTTCTCCTGGGATGGAGATCTGGATCCTTGGACACCAGCCAAAACATCCTGCCAGGTGTTTTTGTGGTAATCCTGTTTTCCTCCAAACAATAGAGTAGATGTGTTATAACCAGAGCAAATGCTTTGAATAGTTCTTTAAAGGACACTTGAAATACTTCTTGCATATTTTTCTGCTCTGTACAAACAGCTCTCCTGGTTTCTGAGGAAGCTCCTGAATGTAAGTAGCGTTGCCTCTGTAACTACAGGAGTTTCCTAATTCAGGTGGTGTGGCAGGTAAGGTTATCTTGCTTCAACAGGGAATGTGTTAGTATAATCCTTCAGAAAGTTTTTGCAAACACATCCTCCTCATCCCTAATTATATAATTAAAAAGTATAAGCATTGAAAATCCTTCTAAATACATACTTAAATCCTAAAGGATCTCCTTAGACTGGAGTATTACATGAGATAGAGAGCTTAGCAATGAGTTGTACTAAGGCCTGATACATAACAGCAATTATGAGCATGTTCACTTTATTAACCAAATATCAGTAGTTGTGCTGTGAACAGTGCTTCTCATACTTAAATTTAAGCGGCTTTTAATATACTTGCAAACTGTGTTTCTGTGTAAGTCAGACAAAACATGAGGGAAAAGAGGAATGGGATGTACAAGGAGAAGACTGAGGCACAGAGGCAAAAGAAACAGAAACAGTTCAGTCTGATTCTAGTATCTGCTATTCAGTAATAGTCAGGCACAGATTCCCAAAATACTGTAAGGAAACCATGGCATTTCTCCAGAAGCAGATTTCCCTGGGAAATCTGTCACTTTGGCCAAAGTGAGCACACACTGCTGCTCTTTACCTCAACAGGGTAAACATCCTCATGAATAACAGTATTTTTTGTGTGACTACAGCTGCTCTTTTAACTCTCTGCATAAAGACCTGCATTTGGGGAACTAAAGGTTATGAATTCAAATCCCAGTTTCCATTTCCAGATGCATGTATATATTTGGCTGGAAACAATGCTGGCTGTCTGGATGTATACAGCCACGGATCATTGCAGCAGCCCAAGTCAATTAGCCTTGGTGATACTCTGGTGTCCTGTGGAATAATTTTATTGATACTTCAGGGGATGTTGTCAGAAGGATGGCACTGAGAACTACAGGACACAAGGGGCAGGTCCAGCAAAATAACCACCTTAGGCACAGGTTTCCAAACACCTCTGTGTTTACAGACACCTGAACCTTTCTGCATTTCCTGGGTCTCTCTTGGGAAATACAAAGGATCACAATTAACCTTTACTTATTACCATGCACAGGAAGCAATAGGGGAGCCTCTCAGGTGACACATCTCATTTGAGCATTCCACTGGTGTCTGCAATCATGGATGTGTCATGGAAATCAAGGCAGGGAAAGCTGAGCCTCCTAATTACAATGTATATTTACAGGCCCCATTTTTATTTTAAAGGCAGTAATACACAGTAGTCTTCATTTTACCTGTAATGTAGAAGTCAGGCTGGTATGAGATAAATCTCCTGTCATTCTTCAGTCCTCCCATTTCACTGGAGGCTACCCTGTGAAGTAACAAAAGACAGCAAGTGTTTGCATCAGCAACTAAGTATTTTGGGGATTTTGGGTTGGGTTGGTTTTTTTTGTTGATTTTTTTTTCTTTTACATTTTTCTATTTTCTTTGCCCCAGGACCTCTAATGAATCTCTCTTAAGAAATGCTGAAATTTTGTAACATTATTTCTTTCTTCTAGATTTAAATTAAAGAGACCTCCTGTCTGGTTGGTTGGTTGGTTGGTTGGTTGGTTTTTGGTTGTTGGGGTTTTTTTGCCTCGCCCCTTTTGGGAGAGAAAAGGTGCACTTGATGAACACCTTTTATTTGCTTTTTAAAATTACTTGAATTTTTAAAAAAATAATAGGTTATTAATGTCTGTCTTTAAAATTTGTGGTTTTAATTTCTCTCTAATGAAAGCACAAGGTTTTTTAACCTCATGGTTCTGTGTTTTCCTTGGTATTTTAGCTTTTTCTCCCCAGAAAGTAGTATAAGAAGTATAAAATGGCATATTTTCTGAATACATGAGAATCACTTTTTTTTTTTCTTTCAATTGTCCCTCCTTCTCAGTTTTCAAGTGTAGAAGAAAGTTTTTGTTTTACAGAAAATTTCAGGGAAATAATAATGATTTTTCTTCCTCTCCTTCCACTGTAATTACCTTTCCTTCTCAATGTTTTTCACTGAGGACTCAATTTGTGACATTGCACTTTGTTAGGAGCTGAAATTAGTGCAGAAATTAAGTGTTAGACATTAGGGAGACCTAATGGGAGACAAAAGCAGAGAGTAAAATTCGAAGAAAAAATCCTTGATGGAGAGAGCTAAAGATACAATCATGTTGTTACTATTAGACACAACTTGGAAAGAAATTGAGAAAAAAATGTAGCATAGAATAAAATTAAATGAAAACAAGCACTAAACCATACCACAGTCCAAGCATGAATTAAAAACAAGACATTGTCCTTAAAAGCTTAGTATTGTACAAGTTTTGATAATGAATTATGTGCAGAGACAAGCAAGGCAGTTTTTCTATTTGACAGTCCCATGCAAGCCTCATTTGCAAGGATGTGCTCAGCTGTGGGGCCCAGGTTTGAAAATTACCTTAGTATGTTGAGAAAAGTTTAGTTGACAGCAACAAAAATCTAAAAAAGTTGAAAAATTGGGTCTTTGAAGAGAGACTTAGAAATTTAGTCGTGGTTCAGCTAGAAAAAGCAAAGCTGAGTGACACGCAATAATTTTAAAAATAAGTAAAAATGTTTATTAGAAAGAAAAGAGGACTTGGACTTGCCAATGAAAAAGAACAGTCCAAATTGTAGATTTAGGTGAAATATAGCTCCATCTGAGGGTTGTGCCAGGGAAAAACAAGTGGAATGCTAGAGGGAAGTGGAATGGGGTGAGGGTCTGTGGTGGCAGTCAGCTTCTGTCTTTCAATTCAAGCAGGCAAAGAAGAGCACCATGAGTTCAGCTTGTGGGGCAGGAGGAGAGCAGCAGTCTTGCTGTGGAATTTTTGTGCTGGTACCCCAAAGTTGTCCCTAGCCTGTAAAATCTAATTGCCTCCTTTTCCTTCTTATGAATCCATGGGAGAGCAAGGAAGTTTTCAGCAGGTACAGTTTGACTCTGGTCCCATTTTATTTCTGTAGTAGAGGTTGTCAAGGACTGCA